ATGTTCAAATGGGGAACAGCTCTTATAAAAGGTGGTTTATTGATTTACTTTTTACTGAATTGGTTTGTGACAGCCCTCTTTCACATATCAGACCGCTTTGACATGAATAAATGAATCCACCGTAGCTCCAGGACACATCACACCAAAACCAACTTGAATCATTGGTTTCCTTCCGACGCCGCAGAGCTGTTGGTGTGTTTAGACGGTGGAAACGCCTCGACGTGGAAGAAAAATAAAGAAATCAGTAAAACTTTCAAAAATTCATTTGACTTGGCAAAGAATAAAAATACACATTTACGTAGGAACTATTTTGTTCCCGCTTTCGTGATCTACCATCTGCTTTTAAGTAACCGTGCCGTCATTTGAAGAAACAAAAAGAAATGTTAATATTTATTTATTTATTTATTTATTTATGTGCACTTTGAGCTCCATAAGGTGTGTCAGTTGTTTCCATTATTTATAAAATTAGGTAGACAGTTTACTGTAAACCCATCAAGAATAAGGGGAAATATGTTCACTGGACACTTTATTAGGTATGCCTTGATGACCCCAGGTTGGATCTCATTTTCCCTTCAGAGCTGCTTTAATCATTTGTGGCACAGATTCAACAAGTCACTGGAAAAATTCCTCAGATATTTTCCTCCTTGTTGACACGACAGCATCACACAGTCGCTGCAGATTTGTCGGCTGCTTCCACGACGGGAATCTGTAATCTAGATGGACATCTGGTGACAGCGAACTCATCATCGTGTTGAAGAAACCGATGATGATGATCTGAGCTTTGTGACATCAGAAGATCGTGCAGTGCGGTCACAAAGGGATGGACACAGTCAGCAACAATACTCAGGAAGGCTGTGGAGTTTAAACGATACTCACGTGGGACTGTAAGTATCCCCACATCATGACCACAAACTGCTGATCAGGACCATTTGTCCAATCTTCTGTTTTCCAGTCTCTGTGAGCCGCTCAGCTGCTCCTGTGCTCAGAGATGCTCTTCTGCATACTTTGGTTGGAACAAATGGTTATTTAAATTATCGTTGCCTTCCTATCAGCTCAAAGCAGCCTGGCTGCTCTCTTTGACCTGTGTATAGGCTACTTGACCTTCCTCCGTAAACCTTTGAGATTTTCGTGTTGGAAAATCCCAGATTGACTTCCACTATCACCAAAGTTAACGATTGTTAACGACACCAACGTTTTCTGTATTCTTTGTGTAAATGTTGGGTGTTGTGATTTGTCGCTATACAAATAAAACTAATTTGAATCGTCAGTTTCTGAAATATTCAGAGGCAAATAAGCGAGCCATGTCCAACACCACTTACATCACCTTCCCTCTTCATTCTGATGCTCAGCTCAACTTCAGGAAGTCATCTTCACCACTGAGTTGGCTGATCAGATATTTGATTGAACGAGCTATTGAACAGGTGCACCTAATAATGTGGCTGTGAGTGTATTTAGATTTGATCTGGAGATAAAATGTCCCTTTAAATTTCTGCAAAAACAAAGAAACAGGTGGTAGACGGCAGCGGGCAGTAAAACTGTGAGGCTGTGGGGTTTTTCTATGTTGGTCACGTGATTCACAAGAATTTGTGATTTTGAACTCGAGCCCTCACAAGCTTGATCCGTTTGGCTTCCACTGACTGTTGCAGGTTAGTTTGTTCACAACTAATTGGAGAATGTATGTAGTAAAGATCAATGCAGTGCATTCAAATTCAGTCATATTTCAGGATCTCTTAATATTGAGAGTTTTTATTTTTTTCCAGCTCTAATTTGGTCCCATCTTTGTGACAGCACATATGAAAGAAAGATTCATTTCGATGTGAAACGTGAGCGTTGTGGGTTTGGGGCATTCCCCGGCAGTCGTGGGTGTCTCAGATGTGTCTGGAGATTATGGCGCTTTGGATAACATGAAGCTGTTTAATTAACAAGTTCACACATGAAGGCAGAAAATGAAGCTCCGGTCTCCTTTCAGACAGGTTGTAGAGGTATTCTGGGGTTTTCGTTGTGTATCGATTGGTCGGCATGCTGATCAGCAGATGAGCACAAACCTGAGTTGCATGGCCACAGTTTGGCTTAGCAGCTGGGGAACCTCCAGTAGACCAGCTGTGATCAGCTGCTGGGTTTGAGGCTTACGGCTCTATCGTAAAACTTTTTCCCTCCTTGTGACCTTTGAATAGAATGAAATCGCGATATAAATTCATCTCTAAAAGTCTCTCGTCTTCCTCTCCCATCCTCTGAGAGCAAAGTTATCACACACTACAGGTTTCTGTTTCCTCCTTTGGAAGCATAGCTTCACACACTGAGTGGCAAACTGCACAGAGATGGTTTGCTTGTATTCATGGAGCTCTGCGCTGTTACTCACTGGCCTACAGTACAATATGAACCTGAAGCACGAGCAAAGCACAACAAACTGTTGTACTATTATCTTAAATATTTTTTTCCTTTTTAAAGTAATTAACTATTTTATTTTTGGCAATTTGAACCATTTTGCAGGAGAAGCACTAACATTAATCATTTCACAGTGCTCGTTTTCTGCTCTTTCAGTAGAAACTAAAGAAAATGTGAGCTTGGCATGGTCGTGATGATGGCTGATGGGGAGCTTTGCCGTGAGCGCTAAAGCTAAAATATTTTGCATGTTTTGTGGTCGTTTAGTGTTCGTTTGCTCAGTTTCATTTACCTTTGTGTCTGTGACACCAGGAGTGAACCGAGTTCAGTGTGAAAATAAAGATCTGCAAAGGGAACTTCAAGGTGTCTGCATTTTAATGAGGTTTCCTCTGCTGGGAAAAAAGGGTATAAGGTGATAAGGTAAAAACGTAAAAGGGTTATTTGATCGCAAGTCAACACATGAAAAATGACTAAAATTCAAATTTAAAAACCCTCCACCTGATCTCAGATTTTTATGAATAAATTCCAGGTGGAAAGATGCGGTAGGAAATAAACAAAGTCAGGTCTGTTTTCTAATAAAGTCCTTTAAGGGTTGAAGGTTGAGGACTTTTTAAATGTTCATTTAATGAGGAGCATTTTGAATGATCTCATGAAGAGAACTTGGTCCTTCAAATGTTTCAGGGTAAATTTGTGTTACTGCAGCTCTGTGAAATATGGACTCTCAGGTCTGCAGCTCGGGTTAACACAGAGTGGTGGACGCTTGAAGTCTTTGGAATATTTGGATGTGTGATCTCTGAGAGCAGACTCACAGGTCCAGGACTCAGAGTGTTTCCCCCCTGGATGGTCACCCGTGGGTTAAATGCTCTTCTGTAAGAATAACAACTTATCAAAGAGGTGAATGAAGACGTCTTTGTAACGTTGCAGTGGTACTTTTTGAATGCAGTGAAACACAAAACCTTGGAGTTCTTTTAACTTTTTGGGAGTTACCTTGCAGAGCTTCACCGGAAGAAGATTTTCAACCGCAGCAGAAAAAAAAGGATGCGTTGAGAGTGTGGGCGGGGCTGTGAGGTGGGGTTACGTCCCATCTTGTTGAGTGAGCATCTCCATGGCATCCACTGGAATCAAAACATAAACTCAGATCATCAGATTTCACTTGTCGTTCATCTGTCCAGCCCATTTTAACCCAGTGCACAACAACAAATACAATCCTGCGTGGAAAGCTGCACTGAGAGTGGAAAAACACTCCACGGGACACCTTTCAAATTTACAAAACATTTCATAATAATCTGCAGAAACTTTACTGGAACACGAGATGGTTTAAAACGATTATGATTTGTGTTTGTTTTATTTTTCTTTGATTTGTGTTTGATTTCAGAAATTAAAATCCAATCATTTTATTCCAAACCGTAAGTTCATGTCGGAGCTCTCCGGGGTTTGCTTCCCTCCGTGAGCCCAAATTCGACCAGGCTGTGCTTTTAAAGCGCTGAGTGGAATTCACACAGAACCGTCCTGTTAATTGTAGGTGTAAAAACCAGCAGCGAGGCCGTGTTTCCATCAGTCTGCCGGGGCGGAGCTCATCCACCTCTCCGCCTCAGTTTGGATAAAAGACACCAGCTAACAAACTCTCCAATCAGCACCAGTCAAATGTAAACGCAGCGCGAGGACACGCCAACAACAGCTGGAGATGATGTGCCCAGTTTTACAAAGGCAGGTTTAATGAGATAATCCCAGTTTTAATCCACCCCCAAAAAAGAAAGAAATTACAATTATAAATAAAATGAATTTTGAGGAAATGTTTATGTGTGTTCAAAAGAAATGACAGCAGGCTGGAGGTTTGGTGGATTGGCCCCGCTGTGACCCCACGAGGCTTTTTTTTGCATAAAAAAGTGCAGATTTTGCGCCGTTTTGCGCACACAGACTGCGACCAAATCCATCGTAAATCTAGACAGCAAGCTTTCAAAGTTTGTGTTTAAAATCGTGTTACCGGCTTCATTCATTTTTAAAGAAACTCCACCTTAAAATCACACGGATCCCGTTAACAGAGGCTTGCGTGGATGTGGTCAGAAATCCGTCTCAGTCCTTGTATAAGTTGAAGGAATCTGCCCGGGAAATGAAAACTGCGCTGCTGGAGTGTCGAGGAGGGATTTGAAGTTCCCTGCTGAGGCCAAATTCAAAAACGAGGAAATATCCTGTTAAATGAGGCTGTTGCTGTATTTCTGGCTCATAGATGTCGGGTGAGACCTTCTGTTTCCCCCTCTTTCTGGAGGAACAAGGATCAAAACATATCGCTGAAATTTAAAGAAATGAATTCAAAAATATTGGGTTAAACTTTGGATCTTGCGCATTTAATGCCGGATTTCTTTGTTATTTGTTGGAAAACTTAAAGTCGAATTTTTGCCTCTGATCCATTTTCTTCGCTCTGAATTTAAACGGAGCTCCTGTCTGAAACCTCTGCACAACTAATTGGATATACCTGCAGATTTCCCCTCCACTCGCTGCCACCCCCACCACACACACACACACACAGACTGAGGACGCACTGCTGCGTCTCTCCAAACGTTTTCCTCTTTCTTGTTTCCCTCTCTCTCTGCAGCGCCGTGAATGAAACACCGAGCCCTTTTAACATATTCAAACCAACGTCACAACTGAAGGTGGATCACGCTGCTTTTTCTATAAAACCCCCTGCAGCCCGCTCACTGTGGAGGAGCAGGCATCGGTCTCTCTCAGAGGAGCCGAGAAAGAAACTTTCCCCCAAACCCTGAACGGATTTCTGTCACCGTGCGCTCAGAGGAAGCTGCTTGGAGGTAAGTTTGAATCTGAAAAGGACCGAACTCTCTAACGTCTTACTTCATTTACTGGGAAAATCAGAGCTAGAGAGCAATTTGCTGAACTTTTCCCCTCGCTCCGTACTGTAGTCAACTGTATTCAAATCCCTCTTTTATTCCTTCTGCCTCATTTTAAAACCTGATTTATTGCCAGTGCTCTATAAACTCTGTGCCGCCCGGGGGGTTAGGGTGGCTGAGCCCCCTGAACTGTACCTATAAAGGTGCATAACCTAATAGACAAGCTGGCGCACGCAAACCTGTAAAACTATTTGGAATACTTGACAGCTACTCCTCATTTTGAAGGAGCAGCGACAGCGGAATGAAGGGGAGTTTCCTCGCAGGAGAGGAGCACGTTTGTCATGTAGCTCGCCCAGAGTCAGAGTGTGAGTGTGTGCAGGCGCATCCATCCGCAATGATCGGCTTTTTATTTCTTTCAAAGGTGCGTCTGCCTGCGCAAACTCTTTAACATGCACGCAGCTTTAAAAATAATGTCAGGCTATAAGAGACGCACTCTACAGTTTGTTTTAATTGGAAAAAATGATCGCAGACGTGTGCGCCATCTCTGCATATTTCTGCGTAATGGTCGTCATTGTTTTGGTCTAACTAGCTGTAATAACAGTTTACATTGGCTCTCTCCGGAGATGAGCTGAATGAGTAATTTCTGGGGCAGCGGAGGGTAAACACACCCGGACCTTTTGTTTTTATTTGGGCAGCTTTTACAGGAGACCAGAGAAAAAAAAGGAAAAAGGAGGAAAAGAAAAAGAATTCCGGACAGACGGACAGGGAGAAGCTTTACGCACAGCCCAGACAATTTCAGCGCGCAGACACAGGTGGATGCTGGGAAACGGACCAGCGCGGAGGAGATGTTGCCCCTGCCTCAGTTTGGAGTGCTGTCGGCCTTGGCCACCGCGCTCACTTCGCTTCTCTCCGCGGTCCTGCTGCTGGCACTGACGCGGCAGCTGTGGAGCCTCCGCTGGAGTCTGACCCGGGACAAAGAGAGTCGCCTGCCGCTCCCGAGAGGCTCCATGGGCTGGCCACTGGTCGGAGAGACTTTCCACTGGTTGTTCCAGGTGAGTAAGCTCGAGTTTTTGTTTATTTATTTTTAAGCCCCAAAATGCAGGTGTGTGTTTCCTTAGCTATGCTCATCTGTTATTGGCTTCTAATCCACGCGGGACTGCTGGAAGTTTGAATAATCACGGTGTCGATACTTTGTTAAGAAACGCGGGAAGTTTCGAGAAGCAGATTGTTGTGCGGGTTCAGTTCAGATGTTGATGCGACATGTGCGGACTTGATGCTCCGCGCGTAATTCCTTGTTATGGAGCAAAAACAGAATTCTGTTCAATTCTTCCACCTCGCTCCCTCCCTCTCTGTCTTCCCTACAGAAAATAATTCACCTCTCATCCATCCTCTCCACATCCTTACAGCTCACGCGTATTTCCCCATCTCCAAATTTTCGCCTTCTTAAATCGCTCCCACCAACTCATTAGTTTTCACTTGTTAATATTATCTACATGCACTGCTGCTCTAAAGTTTAGGGTCACAGACTGTTAATCTAACCCGAGCGGGAGGACTGAATGTAAGAGGCATTTCAGTAAAGTCGTTAAAATCTTTAATTAGTCATCTTAATGCACTGCATCACTTGGTGAGCTGATGCAAGCATGACTGAAAAGGAGTAAACTGTATAAAGCTTACGGAATTTAAAAAAAATATCTCTGCAAGCTGTTTGAATCGCGGAGTAAAATAAGCAGTTTGCTTACAAAAAGTCTACATGTGAAGGTTTGGGCAGATCCACTGTCATCCCTCAGGCACATGCTGTTGAAAATGTTTTATAAAAGTATCTCAAGCTTTGTGCAAATGGATGGTCCATTAAATGTTCTTAGATCATTTATATTTAAAGAAATGTAGGTTATTATATTATGGAGCTGTTTTAATAGTCTGACCCACTTGAAGTCATATTGGACTGTATGTTGTTTATAATTAACCACAGACTATGTTACCTAATGTAAGTTTATCATGTTAAAAAGATTAACAGAGACAGCCTGTTTTTATGTAAAATAAAATGACAGATTAAAAAAGTAAAAGTAGCTGGTTTGACCAAAATGGTGCAAAAAGAAAGATTTTCCTCTGAAAAATCCTCTTGTTCTAAGAAATGAAGATATTACTGAGGAAAAAAACAAAACAAAAAGAAACCAAAACTGAAGTGACACAGCTGTGTGTATTACTGCACCAAAGGACAAAAACAGAGAGAGACTCCAAGTGTTTGTATAAAAAGTTGTTGCAGTTTTATTTGGCCTTAAAGTATTAATGAGTCATTGCTTCATGACAAAGTTTATATCTCTTTCTACCCTCCAGGGTTCAAACTTCCACATCTCGAGGCGAGAGCGTCACGGAAATGTGTTTAAGACCCACCTCCTGGGGAAGCCGGTCATCAGGGTGACGGGTGCAGAAAACATCCGCAAGATCCTGCTGGGGGAACACAGCCTGGTGTGCACCCAGTGGCCTCAGAGCACACGCATCATCCTGGGACCCAACACCCTGGTCAACTCCATCGGAGACCTCCACAAGAGGAAGCGAAAAGTAAGAAGGTGTAGCAGGAAGTTGAACTGACGTTTGGATTCACAAACTGTCTGTTCCGCTCCGGGTTTCACTAAAAGGTGTTGTCTGCTGTGCACAAGCTGTGAACTTTTCATGACCCCTTTCTCTCCATTTCCTTATGTTTTTCAAGATTCTGGCCAAAGTGTTTAGCCGGAGTGCTCTGGAGTCCTACCTGCCCCGGCTTCAGGACGTCATCAAATCTGAAATCGCCAAGTGGTGCTCAGAGCCGGGCGCCGTCGACGTGTACAGTGCAGCCAAGTCCCTGACGTTCCGCATCGCGGTCAGGGTCCTGTTGGGTCTGAAGCTGGAGGAGGAACGGATCGTTTACCTGGCTAAGATCTTCGAGCAGCTGATGAACAACCTCTTCTCTCTGCCAATAGATGCCCCGCTTAGTGGGTTACGCAAGGTGGGGGAGCTTAAAGACATTATGTGTAATCTACATGGATAACGTGGTATTAAAAGCCGATTAATGTCATTCATGTTGGCTTTTACATGAATTCTTTGTAATTTGTCAATCTTTTCCTGTCAGGGGATAAAAGCCAGAGAAATCCTGCACGCCCACATGGAGAAAATCATTGAAGAGAAGAGGGAGCGGCAGCACATGGACGAGGAATATAACGACGCCTTTGATTACATGTTGTCCAGCGCTAAGGAGAACGACCAGCAGCTCAGCATGCAGGAGCTCAAGGTACCAGAGTTAATGTCCACAGTGCGGGGAAGGATGTGCCAGCCTCACTTTCTGAAAGTCATGATAGGACAAGACAACACTGAGATGCAGATGTGCAGAGTGTGCACACACTGAGTGTTTTTGTGACCCACTCAGTCATATTTAACCACCACTTAGGCACAGTTTGTCAATGAGCAGGACACTCTGAAACCGGCTGGCGTCTAAAATACTGCTCCTGCACAGCACAGCAGCCGCTGCAATCTCAGGAAGTTTTTGTGATTTATGCTATCACTAAGCGATACTCGAACACCACTGTAGACATTAAAATTGATGCTAATGGTGGGAAATAAAAGGCTTTTTATGATTTTTGAAGCAATTACCAAAAGTAAAACATAAATCTGAGGCTATAAACAAACTAAAACCCAGTTTTGTGACTGAGTCCTCTGTGTTCAGCATGATGGTGGTGAATCTGTAGTCTCATTAGGCCGCTTGTTAGAAAACACCTTATATGGGAAATTTTAAAAGCTTCAGAATTTACCTGTAGGGGCAGTTACTGATTCACTTTTGGTTGTAATAAAAAACAGCCCGAGAAAAGAAGTCCATCAGTTCATACAGGTACATTTAATCATGCTAAAGATGCTTTTAATGGTCAACGCTGAGTGAAAACGATTGAGCCAGATAATTTGGTAAAAGGTCAGTCGTGCACCGATGGTACATTATTTGTGAGCAAGCTATTTGGCTCTCAGTTGACGTTCAGGGACCTCACGGGTCTGACTGTGAACCTGAGAGCAGTATGTTCAGGTGACATCCACCCAACCCATCCACCTCCCTTCTTGCAGGAAACAGCAGTGGAGCTGATCTTTGCTGCTCACTCCACCACAGCCAGCGCTTCCACATCACTGGTTCTGCAGCTTCTTCGCCACCCAGCAGTGGTGGACAAGGCCAGAGTTGAACTGGAGGCGGAAGACCTCGGCTATGAATCTCACAACAGCTGCATTCAATCTGGTGTCACCATGGAAACAGAGGAGGGCGCCACTGACGTAGAAACAACCTGCCTGCTAAACAGAGGGTGTCGGAATCAGAGAGACGAAGACGGTTTCCCGCGGTCGCAGTCTCATGTACCCTGGCTGAGCCTGGAGAAGCTCAGCCAGCTCCGCTACATCGACTGTGTCGTCAAAGAGGTCCTCCGCTTCCTTCCGCCAGTCTCTGGCGGTTACCGAACAGCTCTGCAGACGTTTGAACTAGATGTAAGTTTGAGTCTCTGGTAGGAAGATTTTACTTATTTGTATAGTTTTACAAAGAACTCAATATATTTTTATCAAATACAAAGGAATTTAAATCTTATTCATCCCAAAGGGATCATCTCCATGTCTCTGCTCCTGGAACTGACAAGGGCCGTGCGGGAAATTTATGAATGCTCAACTAAAAATACAGCAACGAGCAATTGGCTGATACATGATATAGGACTGTCAAATTTCCAAATAAAATACATTTAGATAACAGTCTATAACATTCAGTCCAACCAGTAAGGGTGGAGATGTGGGGTATGTGACAGGTTTGGGCTACAGTCAGCAACTGGTGCTCGACGTCATCAGCAACTCTCTATACTAGCTATACTAGACACAACAAAAACTGAAGGAAGCACCGTTCTGGTGGTATTTAACAATTGTGCTTTGCAAGCTAATTATTTACATAGTTAACATGTCAAGGAGGCAGCAAACAAAACCCCAAAACAATCAGTTGCACAAAAAAACCCCCCCTATTGATAGACTTAGCCAATAATAGCTAATAATAGCTAATAGCCGATAGCCATCCAGTTGGTAACTACAGTATGCTTAGACAATATTTTTTGAACCTTAACCAGTACAGATGAACATATAGTTTTATCGAGTAGGTTTGGGCCAAATGTTAAATGTTCTAACTGACGGCCCCATAAAATGTCTGTATATGTTTTAGCTTGAAACAACGAAAGGAACGTTTCTGTTTTACAAGCTCAGAGTTCAGTCCTCAATGAGGCAGACCATTAAATTAGCAAAAAAAAAAATCACAAACTGGGTTTTGTCCGGCAAGTCGTCAATAGCACAAAGACTTGCCCAGTAGCCAAAGCTTAATAAATAATAACAGCTGGTACAAATTCTTGGACACTTTTCATGCTTCTGTTGGAGTAATACAATAACACAATGACCTTGTGGGAGGGTTTTTGTTGTTTACCAATCCTGTCTGTCTAAACCCAGCTGCCTGTAGCCATTATCTTCTTTACCGTAGAAGCAAAGCTAAAGTTTGACATGTGTCGAACGCCTCCTTGTGGACACTCAGTGAGTCTGAGGGTGATTTAGTCCATCGCAGAATCGAATTGCTCTCAGAGAACTTCATGCTGGAGGCAGAGCGAATCTTGCGTCTATTGAATTTTGATTTTGGCTCTTTGTTCGGAGGCGTGGCTGTCTACGCTTTGACGGCCCCTCCTGGGAAACTGCTTTTAAAAACCCCTCCCTGCCCTCAGTGTGCACCCAATTTGCTGCCTTCATTGAAAAAGGACAAGTGACGTTTAAAGCGATAGCAGAGGAATTTCCACCGTACTATTATAGAGCGCATGATGCTAATTATTTCTCACGGTATTAACTTGTATAGGCACGACGTAATTGTGCTCCTGCAAATGTCTTTATGCCTGTTCGGTCAAGTGAGTGCTTCTGGAACCTAAACAAGGAAATCCTAACTCTGCAGAAATAACTGGGATTAGTTTATAGAGAAGTCTGGATTAGCAGGATAATGAGTGACTGACTGAATGAATGAAGCTGAAAACCAAATGAATGAAGAAGTTTTCAACACGCTAAAGCCTCCAGCTTTCTATGTCAGGCAGAAACTAAAAGGTCAACATCATAAGACTCTTGAATTAATTTGTATTTTTCACTTGTGAGTCTTTGAATTTGAGAATTATAATAATAATTAAAAATCATCCAAACAATAAAATTTTGACTTTTTCAATTTCAACATTTTCTCTGCATTATTTTGTAAACCTTTGCCGACAGTGGCTATATTACCAAGGTCCAGAAACTGTTTTAGAACCCTGAGTCAGAGTTTATATCACTATCATCAAAATGAAATGGCTTTCTTATTCTGCAGGGCTACCAGATCCCAAAAGGTTGGAGTGTAATGTACAGTATCCGGGACACCCATGAGACTGCAGCAGTCTTCCAGAGCCCGGAGCTGTTTGACCCGGAACGGTTCAGCCCAGATCGGGATGAGTGCCGGTCGGCCCGGTTCAGCTATGTGCCGTTCGGTGGTGGAGTGCGGAGCTGCGTAGGGAAAGAACTGGCTCAGATCATCCTAAAGACTCTCGCCGTGGAGCTGATTGGGACTTGCAAATGGACCCTTGCTACAGAGAACTTCCCCAAGATGCAAACAGTGCCAATAGTGCACCCAGTAAACGGGCTGCACGTGCATTTTTCCTACAACTACCAGCTTTAGAGAAAAAAAACAGACAAATAGACACTGAGAAACTCAACCAGGGAGGCAGTTTGACCTTTCCTGCTTCTGGGAACTCTCTAGGAAAAGAGAAAATGACCTCGCCAGTCCTGATGGTGCAGTTTAGGCCCCCTTTCATCTGCATGGACATGGGTGGGTGGGGGGTTACTTCATTTCTTCAGTGGTCTGACCCAAACCTAAGAAACGACTTTCTGTTGTAGCACAAGCACATTTTAACCATGTTACATGTTTCCCAGCATTTACTTACTTTTACACACATTTTAAGTTATTAAAATATGAAAATTTGCAGCATTTTTCCTGCTAGTTTTCAAACAGGAGATTAAGTTTTGCTGTCATGAGTGGACCGCATGTCACTAGCAATAGTTTCTATCCAGAGGACAAACAGTTATTCAGGGACTCTTAAACCCTCCCTTCACACTACTTTAATAATCTTTTACCAGTATATTTTCTATATATCCAGTTTCAGGGATGTTTCTTTCCACTCAAATCCAGTGAAACAAACACGTGGCGTCATGATTTTCTGCTGCCTGTCTTTCCTGTTGCACTCTGCCTTGGCATCTTCGCCTTTCTGCACTCCTTCCTGATAAAATAAGCTTTTTACATCATCACTATGGACATATCCAAGTGCTATGTACTGTATATCTGCTAGCTTATATTTAGAACTTTGCCTTTGTTCACTTCTTAGGACTTCATGTTGCCTCTGAAGTGCCTCTGAGCATGGCACTGGCTGCGAGGCAGCTCCACGTGGAGAAACAAGCTTTGAAATGTGACAGTTTGATTAAGGCTGAAATGTGATTTTCTGTAATAGAACCATATCTGAATGCTCATAATGGACACTGGAGAGACCGGATGTGTGAGGCTGAACCGACAACCAGGAACTACCCGAACATAAAGTTCATTTTATACGAATGTTATCTATCCTTAACAGTGCTATTATATGTGTATCAAATGAAGTAGCATTATGAATAAGCTGTATTTAAAATGCCGATGTATCATATCTGTTGTACTTTTATCTGTAACAATTTATAGATAGAGACACTAACTAGTAAAGCCCATAACACCTTTATCACTGCTAGAACATAGAAATATTTTATTGTTTAGAGCGGCATATACTGAGAGTAAAGTTATACTTTTTATTATTGTTTTTACTGGTCTAATTCTAGGACTGTCTAATAGATGCGCTGTGAAATCTGAGGTGTGGATGGATTTGTGGAAGGAGATAGCACTTTCTTTGCTTTAAGGAGTCTGTGTAAATTTGTCCTGTTTGTGCGTTCATTGAGTGTATCACATGTAGCTGCTGTACAGTTGATGTAAAGAGTAAATTAGAAGATGCTAAACTAAATTTGTCACAGTTTGTCACATCCTGTGTCTGAGAAGAGGCCAAGAAAGCAGAGGTTTGACCCAATACGACTGTAGCTTATTCAACGTAAAACTAAAGAAAAAAACATTCAATTAGACTTCTTTACAAATTTGAGCATTCAAAAGGTGTTGGTATCTATGCTAATCAAGGTTGAGATGTCTACATTGTGATCGTGAGTCTTCATAAAGTGTGTTTGAAATGTGATCCCTATTACGACCTTTCTAAAACCCTCAAATATAGCCCTTCACTACTTGTTTTTTAAATTATAAATCAGAAAACTAAAACTAGCAGAGAAGGTAAACTAAAAGTAAATGCAATTTTTGAAAGAAAAAAAAATAAAGGCAAGAAAACTCACTCTGGAGACAGCCTTCAGCCAACGTAGAGGTCCCAGATACTGCAGTTCCTCTAATGGCCACTCGAGGCTCACTTAAAAAAGTGAGTCCATCCCATTAAAGGCCATTTTACACCCAGTGGGCAGTGCCTCGTGATCGGCAGCATACGACACAGCTGTTGCTAGTCGGCTTCTTCTGGTCGTCCACCTCTTGACTTTTGTAACCTGGTGTGTGATGTCACTGCTGCTGCAGCTGTAAACAGTGTGTTTTAATGATTTATCAGTACAGCAGGTCAGAGATTCACAGATTATACAGAAGGAGATGTTGCAACAGTTTAAAAACGCAGGACAGTTATAACTTCTTCTCCTGTATCTGAACTGATGTGGCGGTTTTTGCCTGAGTGGCGACACCTATCGTCCAGGAGAATACAGCAGAATACCTGCGCTGTAACGTTAGCATAAATGGATCTGTGTGATGTTAGTGGTAGTGCAAGAAGCGACCAATGTGGCGAGCATACCAGGCCCTTAATAGCAGGCTGTAGCTTCCAGGTCTAAAAAGTGGTCAATGCAAATGTTCCTGAGATCTGCATTGTTTTTAATGGCCACCAGGGGGCGACATCTGTGGTTGCAAGAAAGACCTTTGGCCCTATGGAAGTTCATGGGTAAATGATGCTCTGCCTAAAGTTGTGCATTATTAGTAATGCTTCTTGTTTCAGTTACTGAATAATTAATCATAGACTGCTATACAAACACAGCTGTTTATTTTAATCAGAGAAGTCGCCTCCTGCTGGTAATTACAGGGAGCGTCGACTGAGCCATACCAGCTTCACATTTCATACCTGGAAACTATGTCCATCTGTGAAAAACATTTGAGGCAGTGAAAACTCGGCTAAAGTCCGGAATTCTGATTTTTTTACATTTTTATGTTGACTGAAATTTTAAAAGTTCTAGATTAAGTTTGGTTTTCACTTCTGTTCAAACTGTTAGACTTTATTTCAGTTTCCACAAAATCATTCATGAAACCGTGAACTCATCATCATATTCCTAAACCTGGACAAAGTCATGTAACCCAAACAGTTGCTGCACACCATTCCACTTGCGTGAGTTGTATAATGCTTGACAGTCAGGATGTGTTGCATTGTCTTGTGTTTTGCTGCATCCCCACTCTGGTTCCCATGCACCCTCCCATCAGCTGACCGGTCACTGACCTGTGCAGCCGGTGGCACTGGCGTGAACCCTGGTTCAAAACGTCGCCAAGTTCACAGTGACCGAGCGTCCATCAGATAACGACCTTGGCAGGACTACGGGGTCCTGCAGCGGACACAAATAGGCCAGGCTGTTTGTGTCCCATTAATTTTCTGCCACATTGCTTCACTCTGTTCTCGGCCTGTCAGCGAGGGTAGTCAGGTGGTTGCTGGAAATGCCTGATGGGCACCGCAAAGTGACCTCAGGGGTGATCTCACTTTCATGTTTTAGTGCATGAGATGAAGATATGAAGCGGAAAATATTGAACTACCAAGTGTTTCTACAGTTTAAGTAGCTGAGGGGTGAGAGGGAGTTTCAAATCATCCAACCAAGGAATTCTGAGGTGGGAGAGTCGCAGTTATAAAACAAAATGACAGAATTTAATGTCTCTACATAAAGACTTACATGCTGATATAACCCAACTAGTTCTGAATATATTGTATAGGAAGTTTTATATTTTTGGTCAAAGCCTTTATAATATTCACTGGTTTGAGGGATTTTAAGTTCTTGAATTTATCACAACACTGGTATCCAATTTGTCTTTTTGGAGTAACCAAACTGGAGCTGCAGATACTCCTTTTTTTCCCCTCACCTACCAATCTGTTGAACTGGTCCAGTCATACAAAGAGACTGGAAACCTGCGCTCACTGGGGATAAATATGTATTAGCCAACTAGTTGGCGAGTGGTAGCTGGAGGTTGCTGGGAACAATTGCAAAGACGATGCTGCACCAAAAACCTTTTGGTGATTGCTTTGGTCATTAGCAGATTGTTGGACGCAGAGTTCCCTTCAAACACTCGCTCACTAACGACCAAGAAGTAGTGAAAGAACTTTTTCCTCCAAAATAAAAGTTGTGCCTTACTGCTGAAACCACTGCCATAAAGAGAGTGTTTGGAGACAAGTTTCAATTTCAATTTTTAAATTTAATTTTATTTACACAGCACCAAATCACAACAATAGTCGCCTCAAGGTGCTTTATATTGGAGAAGAAAGAGCACACATATGATAAGGCTCCACCCCTGAACATATTTCAACTGCCATATTTAAAATAAAGGACAGCGCCACCTAGTGGGAACAGGAAATGTCATGTTTTACACTTTGGGGTACAGTATAGTGATGGGTGACATCTGCTGCCTCAAATTTCTCCAGGAAAGGCGTAAGGAGTTGGTCTTGGGGTACAGTGAAAACTGTGACTTTTCACGTATGGGTGTGACCTCAGCAGCATGGCGAACTTTGATGTCTCGCCATGAAGAAACAAATTAGTATAACTCAATGAAATCCAGTCTGATCAGTACCAGACTTTACAGGCATGATGTCAGACCCGCCCTGAACAGATTGATGTGCCCATTGTCGGGAATACGGACAGCGCCACCTAGTGGCAACAGGAAATGTCATGGCTTTAATTTTGTTGTACTGATTTTCACAGGTTCATTGTGGCCACCTCAAAAGCGGTGAATATCACCATCAGTCCCTCGTGATGCTTCAGTGCAAAAATTGTGACTTTAAACTGAACGGCGCACCCTGGTGGCAACGCTGGTTCACCATGAAAGATGAAGTGGCTTTTGAGGGTCTTGGCAAGTTTATAGAGGCTTGAAATTTGGCACACACCTCCAATGTGACGAAGGCTTTGTTGTCATGTGATCATTTTCATTGAATATCCCAAAATGGCTCCACAGCGCCCCCTACAAAATTTCAAAACCACAGCCCCAGCTCTGTGTTTTATGTATGAATCTGAAACCTGGTAGGCTTATAGGAGATATCAAGATGTACAAAAAAGTCTCTTGGAGCAATATCCCAAATCCAACAGGAAGTCAGCCATTTTAAAATTAATGTGCAATTTTGGCAACATTTTCCCCTCTTTTCAGGCATCGTTCTTTGACGAACTCCTCCAAGGGATTTCATCAGATTGCACTATTCTTCAGTGTGTGGAATCCAAAGACCTTTGTGTTGTTAAATTGCGAAGCTTTTTACGTTCAGGGAAACGGGGTGGTTATGGCGGCACGTAGACTCTCAATCACTCGCCAAAACGCAGTAATCTGCTGTTACTCAAAAACACAATGTCCAATCTCACCCAAAGGTCGCAGGCATAATGAGACTCGAGTTCGGAAATGTTTGTTATGCCATTTGTACATAATGGTTAGAGTGCCACCTAGTGGAACGACTAGCTAATCATGAATGAATGAGTTGAAATGTTAGCTGGTGGTTAAATGCATGAATTCCATCAATGTGACATCAGATCGGACGTGCTGGTTTTAGGTGTTGGGCGTGGCTCGACGCGCCGGGGGTGCGAGGGCCCTCATAACGCTGCTTGCAGCTTTA